TGAAGAAAATTAGTTCCATCTGAATCAGACCCAGTACACAGACCCAATCAATTCTTTGTTTGGGAGGAATACCGATTAAAGACTCAGGTTTTTTAGTATTTTCCAGACTTTGTCTTCTGATAATGAGAAGGGACTCTTTAATTATATTTCTCTCAATTCCAGATAATGAATAATAGTGGGTCATTTTTTCCCTTAATGAAACAGTGACAAAGAAATTAGATACTGAAGGTAAAGGTAGACAACTTTTTTCACATTTTTAGGATCCAAGCCTACCAATGGGCAATGTTCTTTGCAGAAAGGGCAGGTTTCATATTTGCTTTCTAGATTCTGCTCTAGGTGTTCAAATATAGCATTTTTTGCTTAGTCTTGATATCGTTTTCCCTCTGTCATTCTCTTAGAATGAGGTTAGGTGGACTGATCAGTAGTACTCTGTTGCATTATCACATGTAATTTCTTTCTGATGTCTTTGCTGACACTTTCACAAAATTCTAGTAACCACCCTCCTATAGTCAGGTATAAATTTCATGAAGACATAATATTGTTTTTAATATGTTATTTCATACATTTTAGGAAAATAAACTAAATGTCACCTTTTCCTGTACCAGGCTTAGATAATGTGCTGTAAATGTTACTGGAGAAGAAGAACAGGTTTACCATTGTGTTGCAGTGTGAAAAGAAAAAGAATGGCCTTGGAAGATTATTTTTTCTACTTCCTTATGTTAAAAATATTTTAGAATATTTTTGATATTATTTTTTTTATAAAAGGGAGCGTTCAACTTGTGCCAATTTTAGAATTGTTGCCTTTTTTTGCTAGGTCTTCTATGACTAAACTGTTACACATAATGCAACAAACAGTTAAAGCTTAACTAATTTTGTAAAGGATTTAATGAAAAAGTGAAGTAAACAATCAGATCCTCAATGGTAGCAAATGATTGGACATGCTCAGGACGATTGCTATCAGAAAAATATCTAAATATACCAGTAATCTCAAAAACACAGAAGAATTACTAGAGTTACTAAAAATATATTTAACATTTCATGAATATCAGAGAAATAATGATGCTATGGGTGAGCTATAAGCGTAAGGAGAACTCCTGGGAAGGACCCCTAATGATTTTTCATGTCATTCACTGCTTCCAGATACTGCTTTTTCAGGAGTCAGTTAAGTGGCAGGTCCTGGGGATGCAGCTGCATAACCTCTGCCTCTCCAGCATCTCTGACTTTAAGTGGCCTCAGCCCTCATCCTGGATGAAGAGTCAACACTGATACCTCATGGATGTGACTGCCCACAGCAGTTTCAGTATTAAGACTTTGAAAAAGAGCTAACATCACATGAACGTATTGACCTCTATTTCCCTAAAATATTGATTCCACTAAGTACTGCTACAAGCAGTTCCGCACTCTTTTGCTTTATGAATACTCAAAGTATCTTCTATGTTAGTTTGCTGAACAAACTTCCTACAGCTGATTAGATGGACTTATTTAGAAAGAATGGTATTCTAGTACAAGTTAGGATGTCAGGTATAAGAAAAACATATGACTTACAAATTGTATAAGTGAATTGTGACTTGGAGCAAAAAATTGATAATTGGAATTTTAAACTAGGCATCAGGCAGTCTTTTTGGCAAGTGGAGCAGCATGTAAAAAATGCTACACTTTCTTACCAAGCAACTTTGAAATCAAACAAAAAAATCATTAAAATGTTTATTTTGAGCATGATTGTGCAGTGGCAGCATGAAGAACTGAATGATTCTGTAAGCATTTCCCATCTGTAATCTTGATTATTCCCTTTATTTTTTGAGTCACAGCATGAACGCTTTTTGTAAGGTCTCTTCCTGGAGTAAAAACTTTCATGTATAAGTGTCTACTTCATAATAAGGGTTGCCAGAGAGGTTTGAAAGAAAGCACAGTCTTATTTCATGGTACAGTAAACTTTAATAACAACACCACCTTCCAAAAAAGGAAGAATTTGATTTACAATTTTTCTGTGTGTGAGTTTACTCTTAATCAGAAGCACTGCTCCTTTGATTCAGTGCATCAAGTTGAAGGAAAATTGATTTTAGGTTGAATCCATCAATCCAAGCATCTCAACTGATAGGATTTTCTGCTTCAGAATCAGTCTACTTTAGCAATCATGCTAATAATCCACTAATCCCACTGAAAAGAAAAATATTTATGTATTCAGTTAGGTGTAGCACAGATAATACATCACTGAGGAACAAACAGGGATGGGAAAGAAGCTGTGTAGTAGATGTAATGTTTTGTAAAAGACAAAAATTATGCATCCAGCCTAGAACTGTTTAAGAGCAGAAAAAGAGATGCAGTCCAGTCTCTCACAGGAGTGGGACAGTATGCAAATAAGTTTGCAGGCTATGGCCTCCTTCCAGCCTTGTCTACTTCACCTTAAACCTGAGATGACTAGACAATAGTACCACCACCTTTATCTCATCTCAAGTTCCTGTCAGGAGGCTTAACTCACAGTCCTACTCCCTGAAATCCAGGAGGCATGTTCAGCTGGGGACTGGGCTTTGGTGATCTTCATGTTTAACCCGTAAACCATTTCAATCTCTTACAACCTCTCATCCATCCACAGACAGAGCTCCTGCCACTCCAACTGGTCATTGACAGAGAGGGTAAACACCACCTCTTCATCTGCTGTGTCTATCCTTCCTAAAGAGCCTGTATCCTTCCATTCCAACACTCCAGTCATAGGATTTATTCCACCACGTCTCTGTGATGTCAATAATACCATAGCCATGCAGGCATGCACATATCTCCAGCTCCTCCTGTATATCCCCCACGCTGCATGCGTTTGCACAGAGGCATATAAGCTGGGTTCCTAACGAAGTTGGCTTACTAGCTGGAATCCCTTTGTGCTGCCCTTCAGGTGTTCTACTGCCTTCCTGTAATCCCTAAATACTGTCTAAATAATGAATTTTCATCCTTTATTTTGTAGATGGATTAATTCTTCACAAAGACTGTATCTAACAAGTGTTCAAAAATATTAATGGAAAATCTTTGTAGTCTGAGATTTAATATGTGCACTTACAGTCTTTCATGAATAAGATCTTGCTTTTTAAGTAAAACAGACAGATGTTTTCATACTCATTGTTGTGTTTGTGATTTCAGCAGGCAAAATACGTAGACAAAATGAGATGTGACACTTGTTTTATCCACAATGGAAAGACTAATGAAATATAGTCACAGCATTTGTAACTGAAAAAGTAAAACTAACCTATTAAAACACTTAAGAATTCAGTCTTAAAAATTAACCAAAGTAATTAATAATAATAAAAAATCCCTTTCATATTTTGCATCCTGAATGTCTACTGTGAGATTCTCAGGTCTTAAAAAGTTGTATGCATATATGCATATATGTATAATACACACATACACACAGTTCTATATATAATATTATCTATAAGTATTTATGTATATATTCAATGTATTTTCATGTCCATACATTATTATTTAGTGGCAGTGATGGCTGTGAGTTTCTATGTTTCACACATCAATAACTTTCAAGTTATTTGTACCTTAGACTTGAAATAGCTTGTATACCTTTTAAAATCTCTTGCATAAAAACACATATAGCTCTTATGGGGACATAATAATTATAAAACACTTCTTTTTCTTATCCATTTGAAGTAAATATTTCTGTCTAAATAAAAGTTTGATCACTGTACTCTTACATTGCTAACTTGACATTATAGAACAAGGTTTAATGCAATGCAATGCTTACAAGACCTAAGAGAATTAAAAAACTGCAACTGAAAAAGTACTATCAATTCATGTTTTGCTTGCTATGTTCCATTCGACTCATAACCAGTTGATCCACAATAAAGAAATTGGGGGGGGGAATCAATAATTAATCATACTATACAAATATCACATATTTAAATTTAAAGCTGCCAGAAGTTTCCCAGATGTCTGATGGAGACAATGTCAGCAAGCTCCATGATGGACCCACTGCTGGCCAAGGCCGAGGTCAGCAGGAACAGTGGTAGCACCGCTGGGATAACAAAGTTAAGATGGGGTAAAAAAACCCAACTGAGAAGTTGCAGCCATGCAACAACATAAGAATATGTGCGAGAAACAACTCTTTAGACACCAAAGTTAGAGGAGAAGGAGAGAGCAGAGGTGCTGCAGGGCAGAGATCCCCCTGCAGTCCATGGAGGTCCATGGAGAAGCAAAGATCCCCCTGCAGTCCATGGAGGACCCCATGACAAAGCAGGTGGATGCCCAAAGGAGGCTGTGACCTCGTGGGAAGCCTGGACTAGATGAGGCTTCCAGCAGGATCAGTGGCCCCAAGGAGACAGGAGCCCATGCTGGAGCAGGTGACTTGTGACCCTGGGGGGGAACCCATGCTGGAGCAGTTTGTCAAGAACTGCAGCCCATGTGAAGGACTCACATTGGAGAACTGTCTCCTGTGGGAGTGATCCCAAACTGGAGCAGGGGAAGAGTGTGAGGAGTCCTCCCCCTGAGGAAGAAGGAGTGGCAGAAACAATGTCTGATAAACTGACTGCACCCAGCTTCCAGTCAGGGTCAATCCACCACAGCAAACCTTACGACAACTACTGTATAACTTGTCCACAATTTTTTTTTCTGAAATTTTAAAAATAATTTTTGCTAGTAGAAAAAATGGAAACAAAGTCATGATACCTCCATAGTAGGAAGAAAATTAACTTTTGCTAATATTTATAAATTCAGAATTGCTCAAAGGTTATGAGATGAATACCACTGACAGAGTTCTTTGATTTCTAAGACTCTCTGTTCCTCAGTTTGGAAGCCAGGACTTCTGGTACACAATTTATATTCTGGAAACAAATTCTGCTGACACCATCTGAATAGCAATTGTAGCATATGCTTAAAGCATAACTGCTCAGTCCTCTCTTTTCAAGCAAAATAAATTACTACTTAGTTGTATTCTTATGAAAAACTCTATTTCTTTCTTGAATACCACAGAACATTTCTCAAATAAATATCATGTGACTTCTTACCTGGCAAACAGCTACAGTAAAATTCACCAATCAAATCATGGCAATGGCCTCCGTTTTTGCAGGGCTTGAGGGAACATTCATCAATATCTGTGGAACAGTTTTTGTCTGACAGAAAAGAAAATTAGACATTAAAACTATAAATCATGCTGAGAAAGCAGAAAAGCTACTTCACAGTGTAAGTGACAACTGCATAATTTAAATTTTTCAGGTTAGAAACACTATTTTATTTCTGCTTGACGGGTCTAAAAGTAGAGATATTCATAGATCATAGCTGATAGTTAACAAATTAAATATTTTAAGGGAATAAGTATGAACAGCATTTGCAAATGCATTCCTTGTGTGTTCTAGCATTGCCTCTCAACACCATAATTACTAGGGCTACATGCCACATTTAAAAAACTGTTTAAGAGATTTAATAACCTCAGTAACAATAGTAAGAAAAAATATTTCTCAAGGTTGCTTCCATGTTTAGATGAATGAAGCCATTTCTCAAATCCAAAATGAAAATCACAATTCACTCAGCTGTTTCTTCATATTTCTGCTTTAAAAGAGGTTTAATAAAGCTGTAATTCAAATTAATTCAAATGTGAAACAACAAAAATATAGGAAAACATAAAGAAGACAGAGAGGGATATTTAGAAGACAATGTAATAGGTGGCTTATAAAAACAATTAACTCATTGGATATACCAAAAAAAAATCCAGTCCCTCATCTCTCTATTGTGCATTAATTTAGAGCTTGTGGGTTTTTCTATTGTTTCGGTTTGGTTTTGTTTTTAATATTTTAAAAAAATAAAAGAAATAGCAGAATTCTTAAGTACACAGGACTTGAACTGATAGGGTATTTAACTACAAATCCATAATTTTTGAAAGGAATGATTAATCAGAAATTCATGGATATTTGAATGTGCTACTGTCAATTTTTTTCATGCAATGGCGGAAAAGGTGACTACAAACAGAGATTTTCTGAGATCTGATTCAAAGTAAAAGGGAGAAGTACTTTCTCTGACTACGAAGAAAGAAATATGAAGAACTTGGGTGAGAGCTATCCATGAAAAGGGAGAGGAGAGGAGGGTGATTTTGAAAGAAGTCTACTTCCAATTTAGTTCCACTAAATTTTTTTTCAACAATCTGGATGGTAGACAACAAAGTAAGCTTACTGATGGCAAGACAAAAAGATTAGAAGTCTTTATAAATAGATTGTGTTTGAAATAATAAATGTAATCCAATCAGAATAAGTGGAAGATACCATACAGAAAGTCACAAGTTAAGTAGGAACAAACCCCAGAATTTTGTTTCAAATTACATAGTATGCTGGCATATATAAAAAGGAACATATCCAGTTAGAATCATAAAGTAATCCTTCCATTCTTATCTAGCTGGAGTAAAACTGCATTTGGAGTGTTTTGCATTGTGCAGTGACTTGCATTCAAGAAAAATGTGGACTAAATGATGGTCCATATGAGCATGACAGGCATGACAAAGAGTTTAAAGGCATGACTTCTTAGGATGAACAAAATGAATGAGGCTGTGAAGCCTAAATAAGGAAAATTTAAATAGAAATTTGATGACAATCATAAAATAAGAAAGTACTTCTGCAAAAGTCATCTATTCTCTGTGTTAGCAGCAGACAGGATAAGAAGTAATGCATTTAAACTGCAGTGAAAGATTAGATGATAAGGAACTCCTCTTAATGGTTAGTATAATATCACATTGGAAAGGTTGCCTGAGGAAAATAAGGAATATGTAGGACTTCTTTGAGAAGATACATAGGTGGGTAACAACATAGTATATTATATGTTTTCTGCTGGGATAAGCATGGAATAGATTAAAGCTAGTGTTTCATTCTAGTGTCGTGATTATATCATTTACAGGGCATACACACTGTTTATAACACAGAAGAATGTCCAGAGAATTATGTTTGTGTAATGAGTTGGATTATCTGGAAACTTGCTTTGCCTTATGGTAGAGTAAAGATCTAAGTTACTTGGTGTGTAACAACTGAACTCTGACTTTGGAACGTAGTGCTTCTATCCAAACCTGTGTCTCCACTCTACTTCTCCATGAAAACACGTTTCTGCTTTAGTCATATGAATAGAATAGTCATAGATGTGAATCCAGGCATGCAGTAGGCAAGAGAAACAGAGGATAAAAGTACTAACTCTAGCAGGCAGAGACAAAAACGTTCTTCATGCACACCATAAATACACATGGTTAAAATTACATAAGGATAAATGGGAAGTCCTACTCTTACAAAGAAAACAGTACAGCTTTTGGCACATTCAATCTGAATTCACCCCTCAAGTCCCTCTCATGAAAAAAACATAATGAGACAGATGACCCATTTCATACTTCCCATAGTCTCTTGTCCTGTAGGTAAATGTGAAAACCCCTTACTCTATTAGTTCAACACTGACTTTTAAATAGGCTCTTCATTTCCACTCTCACTTCCTTTCCTTATCTCCCTTCCACAGGAGAGGAAGCCTATGCATCAACTGAAATCTTGTGATAACTTTTGTTTAGCTGAACAGTACATTTTTTAATGTACTGCAGGTCACTTCTGGTCACTTGCAGTTGCCAGATACAAGCACAGAAAAAAATGTGCAGGTTATAGCTACTGAACTGCAGCTGAACTGTATGTGAGGAAGCAAAAAAAGTAATCTGAAAAGGACTGCTGAAGATCTCAGCATATGAGCCTCATTGCAGTGCTGTAAGAAAAAAATAATTCTCAGATGTATTTAAATAAAACAAAAAGGAATATTGATGTGTAAAGTACCTCTGCATAAAACATTGATTACAATGTTCCATATTTAAAAAAAAAGTGGGAAGCATGCAGGAAAAGCTACACAATTTATTCAACAACTGAAGAAAGCATGCTGTCGGCAAAGGCTTAAAGAGCTCCATCTGTTTCATTTAGAAGAAACAAAAACAAGAAGTGACTTGATTACAGTGTGTAAATATCTTTACAAAAAGAAAATACTTGGGTAGCAAGAGGATTTTTCATTTCATGTAGAAAAGGTAATGAGATGCAATAGCTCGAAGTTGAAGACAAAAATTTAAATAAAATATTTAATATAAACTTCTAAATCTGATGGTGATCAGTACTAGAATAAAATGCCAGTGAAATTCTAGTTACTTCTCATGCATGCAAATAAGGATTGAATGCTTTTGGATTCACTGTGTGCTTTAATCAAAACTAAGTAATTAGGTTCAGTACAAGGTGGTTAATGGTCAACATTAACTACCTTCTGGTATGCAGACATAATGTAAAGCACCCATTGATTGTCAGAAGACTTGCAGAATAAATATGCTCATCTTGTAGCCCTCTATGTGTCTTTCTGGGGAAAACATCAAGAGAATTCTGTGAGCCAGATACGATCCTGTGACAGCCACCCTGAGGCAGCTGGGCTCTGTAGAATCGTCATCATGTGATATGTGTATGTCCTGTTCTTAGAGGTTCATAAGGTTACCTGTATAACTGGGTGTAAGTTGCTGCTCTACTGCTACCAGAGCAAATAACCTATTCGATTCCACTTTCTGCCTGACTATAAAAGTGAAAAGGAAAAAAAAATTCTTCTTATAAAAGTTGTATAAACATTTTCAAAAACATCACTCTGGATTTAACACATTTTCCCTCCTGCCTCAAGACTCCTCAGATCTGGGCAAGCAGATTGATCTGGTTATTTACTATTTAAGTGAAGAGAGTCAAGCAGTGGTGTAATGTCCCCACTATCACCACCGCAGCCCTGAAGCCCAGATTCTAGCATTGCCATTGCTAGAATCGAGCCACTACTTAGGTGTCAAGGTAACAGTAGAGGCCTCAGGACTTGTCTAGTGGCCAGTTGGATCTTAGATCCACAGAATCATAGAATGATTTGGGTTGGAAATGACCTTAACTACCATCTAGTTCCAACCCCCCTACCATGGGCAGGGAAACCTTCCACTAGACCAGGTTGCTCAAGACCCCATCCAACCCGGTCTTGAACACTGCCAGGGATGGGGCATCCACAGCTTCTCTGGGCAACCTGTTCCAGTGCCTCCAATGCCTTCAGTTATCCTTATAGTAAAGAATTTCTTTGATAGTAAAGAATTTCTTCTGTATCTTGCTTCATTCGTTTTAGTCTTCCTTAATTTTATGAATTGTGTTGTTATGCTTATTCTTAATAAGACATAGACAGGAAAAAACAGTATTTGTACTGTATAGAACGATCTAATTATGACCCTAGAGTAAGGCTGCTGTATGAAAGAGTATAAGGCAGAGAGCAGAGGCCTTGAAAGTGTGTTTGTGAGAAGGTACAAGGCTATTAATTTTTCACATATGGCCAGTAATTGGTAGTGAAGCAAAAGTAGGACCTAGGACAAACAGTTTTAGGGATAAAAAAATGGGCAAATAACAAATGACTAACATATGTAAAATGCCCCAAATATAAAGAAAAATCAGTAGTTCTAGGGAGTTGCAGAACTGAGAAAGATAAATGTATGGAAAAAAAGAGAAAAAACAAACATGACAAAGAGGAAGGCCAAAGAGTGAAGAACAAAAAAAAGTCAACAGGTTACTAAAGAGGACACCAAATAAGGCTCCTATTTAGTGTGGTCATGCTAAAACTGATAGCATCATACCTTTTATAGTATGGTTCTGTCAAAGCAAAGGATGCCCAAACATGATTGTTTCACTGGCTAAAAACAAAACCCAATATATATTGGGAAATATAATTTAGTATCAAAACCTCCGATATAATGCTAGTTGGTATTGCAAAAGCAGTATTGAACAACAGACTTTCTAACATCAATGATTTGGTAGTTTTTTGTTCAGAAGAGGAATTGTGTACTATAAAGAAAACCCCCTAAATAAGCCTATTCTTTCATTAGATGCCACTTCCATTTCTCAAATTCGTTAACAGAATATCTAGGAGGGACAGGAAATGTGCACTGGGGAAGTAACCTGGAGGCATATTTTCTTATGTCAGAGTTTATCCAATGATTGCTCATGTCATAACAGAAAATTTAGTCCTAAGGTACTTGAGGCAGTTATAATAGAAATCTTGATTAAAATTATGTCCTGATATCCGTATGTTACTTTTACAGGTGCACTCATATGTAAAAAAG